GGTGCATTTACTAAAACATGGTGACATACAAACTAGATAATGTCAGCCTAAACGCAGGTTTTTGAAAAATGTTTCCAAATTTGGCCTTAATTAAATTTGTTGACTGTGACAGCAATCCTTGGTACTAGAGCACCCAGGTTAGATGAGCCTCGTGGAATTTGAAAAGCTAGCTATCATATCTTAGGATTTTTAAAGTCGAATTTCCTATTTCCCTCTGGAAGAAAATGAGGTTATCAGCAGAACCTGCTGAACAAATATCTCTGGCTCTGAGCTGCGGGGTTCAATTCCTTATTATGGGAGACTCAAGATTTTAGCTTAGATCAGGTTGACAGGATAATAGTTGCATTTATAACCAACTATCATCAAACCAGCTTTTATGTTAATTTATATACCAGGAATCGTATATAAAAGGAATTGATCATTTCAGACCAAAATAGTCTGATTGGGGGGGAAAGCTCCATGTTAGCTATTCAGGCCAAATGTTTAGAGAATAAAATGCTTTAGGGAATTAGGGTTTTGTGTATAGACTTCATCATGTGACCAGCTCTTGCTGTCAGACCTGGAACTATTTCAGACAGACACATGAAGCCTTTTTTAGTTAAGAAGAATATATTAAAGTAAGACATAATATTTTATGGCTGTGGATAAGAGTCGGTCTAATTATAATGAATGCTCCATGCCGCCACTGTGATACATTTACACCAGGCAGCTCCAGCTCCTGCATACTCACCACTGGACAGGTTGAACACCGTTGTTCTCCACCAAGAGAAGGGCCACAAAGGGTTCGGAGCCCACAGGAGCAGCCCCAAAGTTTAAATCAACTAGCACTGGGGTGCTTATCGGAGGAAATCTACGAGTGCTGGACATAAAAAAGACAAAAAAATAATCATCTTAGAACTGAAATTGTCATGGCCAGTCCTCATTACAGGACTGGTTCTATTAAAGAGACAATGAAATATTGCTTAATGTCAAAACAAAAAGAGCGTTTTGTGGCAGGTGCACTACATTCCCTATTGGAGATATAAAGTAGTTTATCTCTAAATCAGTTTTTCTATATGTCTCTGTAATTACAAGAAAATTAACCACAATTATTTTCAAAATGTATTATGCCTGTAAAGGACAAAATTAATTTGTAGCAGTAACCCATTCACTCTTAGACATGTGAAGGTGAAGGTGAAGGTGAGATAGAATTGCACTACAAAGGTTCATGTTACCAGCATTAATATTTATTAATTTACTTAGTTTGCTGTCAGTTCAGATGTAATATTGAAACATATTTATACATTTTATTTTACAGCAGCGCCAAAACCAGAAGTGTCCATCCTTTGGCATCAAGCTACAGCTAGGCATACAGCCATTTCTGGGAAATTTAACCTACCCAAAACTAGAGGGCTAAAGAGAATTCTGGGAATTGCCCAGGAATTGGACTCAATAGGCCTTTACTCCTGCTATCAACTTGTTTGTTATTTCTGGCCTCGATTTAATATATTTGGATAAGATTTTCAAATTATAACAATCTAAAAGAAAAAGGTTTTCAACTGATATATCTACAGAAGTCACAATTAAAGTTTATGGCAAGTTTTGTAGATAAACCATTTGAAACGTCTTCCTAACAGATTGTGATCATTAGAAAAGCATTTCCGTAAATATTACATCAACAATGTAATATTAGTTCAAAGTACATCTTCATAGTCCACATTACCTGTGTCGGGTCGGCACCCGGTATATTAGTTCTCCAGGCGTTGGGTCCCTTTCAAGATATGCGTTCAGTTTCTCCAATGAAAACAGCCGCCATAGGTGGGTTTTACTGAGAGAGCTGGCACTGCCAGCCGGGCACACATCAACGATGGAGAATATAGGCAAAACGCCATTTGCAGTTACACGGCACAAAAAATGTTCTTCATTGAAAAGATTTGTGGCATTCGATGCTACGGAGAGGATGAAATTTGATTTTAAAGGAACACTATAGTCACCTAAATTACTTTAGCTAAATAAAGCAGTTTTAGTGTATAGATCATTCCCCTGCAATTTCACTGCTCAATTCACTGTCATTTAGGAGTTAAATCACTTTGTTTCTGTTTATGCAGCCCTAGCCACACCTCCCCTGGCTATGATTGACAGAGCCTGCACGAAAAACAAAACTGGTTTCACTTTCAAACAGATGTAATTTACCTTAAATAATTGTATCTCAATCTCTAAATTGAACTTTAATCACATACAGGCTATTAACATAGCAGCTGTGCAAGTCACATGCAGGGAGGTGTGACTAGGGTTCATAAACAAAAGGGATTTAACTCCTAAATGGCAAAGGATTGAGCAGTAAGGCTGCAGGGGCATGTTCTATACACCAAAACTGCTTCATTAAGCTAAAGTTGTTCAGGTGACTATAGTGTCCCTTTAACCCCTTAAGGACACATGACATGTCATGATTCCCTTTTATTGCAGAAGTTTGGTCCTTAAGGGGTTAAATGTCTTTTTTTTTTTTTTTTATCCATAGCATTAAGACATAATAAAACCATGCATATTATGCCATTTTCAATATCAGTTAAATCTCTTCCATAAAGTGAGTGTTAATTGTAACTGATAGCAACAGGGCTATTTATTAAAGGGACACTATAGTCACCAAAACAACTTTAGCTTAATGAAGCAGTTTTGGTGTATAGATCATACCCCCACAGTCTTACTGTTCAATTCACTGCTTCTATTTAGCAGTTAAATCACTTTGTTTATGCAACTTGAGTCACACCCACTGCATCCGACTTGCACAGCCTTCCTAAACACTTCCTGTAAAGAGTAATCTAAAGTTTACACTTCCTGTATTCCTTTAAATTCCGTTTAATTTAGAATGTCTTATCTTCTGCTCTATTAAATGCTTGCTAGACCCTTCAGGCAGGGCCGGATTAAGAGCACACTGGGCCTGGTGCTGACAAATATGATGGGCCTAATTACGGAATCTTATCGACCAAAAACAATAAAACAGTCATACCTCCCAAGCGTCATGTATCTGATGGAGATGGTGTTGGAGGGAAACTCATAGGGTGCAGCTATAGGAAAACACATACTCTATGGTAAGCTCTCTCTAATTTATGCTTTCATCTTTCAAGTAAATCCATAACCCCTAACAGCAGTGTCCAGTAAAGCAGGAAGTCAATGGGTGGGGTAAAAGTGTGGGCCACTTGTGCGAATTACGTGACCAGACCTGCCAAAAGGGGAGAACATGCCCAAAAAGGGGGCATGTCTGTCCAAAGAATTTGAAGGACAGCCTGGCATGAATGCATGTCCGGCTGCCCGCCAATCCTGTAGGCTGTCCAACTAAGGGCATACTATGCAGGCAGCACCATGAGCTTGACATAAATGCATCTAATGATGCGCTCACTCCGTGCTTTCTAAGGACTGTCCCCTAGCACTCGCTGGTCCACTTGTCTCCTTGCCTTCTTACTAGCAGGCAGAAGTTCCTGGTATATAGTCTGAGACAGAGAAAAGGTGTATGTAGTGAGTGTAGAAGAAAGGGGACATGCCACAGTGTTAGAGTGACCAGCGTCTGCATTACCTAAACTAATTCTATTGTCAGCTAGTCCACACAAGTTTTGTTTCCATACATCCCTCTTAAGCTTCCAAACGTAAAGGGACACTATAGTCACTAGAACAACTACAGCTTATTGTATTTGTTCTGGTAAGTAGAATCATTCCATTCAGGCCTTTTGCAGTAAACACTGTCTTTTCAGAGAAAATAACTCCACTGGCCACTCCTTAGATGGCTGCTAGAGGTGCTTCCTGGGGGCAGTACTGCCTAGTGTGCAGCACTGCCATTCAGTGTCTCCACCCTCTGCATGCAGACACTGAACTTTCCTCATAGAGATACATTGATTCAAATTATCTTTATGAGGAGATGCTGATTGGCCAGGGCTATGTTGGACTTGTGCTGGCTCTGCCCCTGATCTGCCTAGTTGACAGTCTCAGCCAATCCTATGGGGAAGTATTGTAATTTGCTCAGACCACCACTTCTGATGATATCAGCAGACAGTCAATTCAGAGGCAGAGCCAGCAGCTGCAGATTTGAATACAAGTTATATTTTACTATACTTAGGGAGGCAAGAAGGGGCCATTGTGTTGGTTTTTACATAATCTGGTCAGAAATACATGATTGTGTTCCTGACCCTATAGTGCTTCTTTAAGCAAGAGTATGTGAAGAGTAGTTAGGGTTGCCACCTTTTTTGGAAAAAAATACCAGCCTTAATCATTTGTATAATCACAAGGAGTGACATCAGATAAAATTCTGTAAAATCACCAACAAACTACTCACAGTTTGATTCTGTTGTATAGATGGATTGCTCCCAGTGTCTCAGTCTCGCAAGTCACCCAGTGTCTCAGTGTCCCTATGTATCACAGTGTCAGTGTCCCCATGTCGCCCAGTCCCCTAGTCTCCCAGTGTCTGTGTCCCCATTTCTCCCAGTGTCCCCATTTCTCCCAGTATCCCAATGTCTCAGTGTGTCCCAATGTCTCAGTGTGTCCCCATGTCACTAGGATACTGGGGACACACTGAGACATGGGGACACTGAGACACCCGGGGACACGGAGACATGGGGACATAGGGACACTGAGACATTTAGGGAAACTGGGAGAAATGGGGACACAGACACTGGGAGACATGGGGACACTGAAACATTTGGGGACACTAAGACATGGGAACACAGAAACTGGGAGACTAGGGGACACTGGGAGACATGGGGACACTGGCTGGAAGACAGACACTTGGGGACACTGGGAGACATGGGGACAGTTGTGGGCATAGACATGGGGACACTGGGACATAAAGGGACACTGGGAGACATGGGGACACTAGGCACACTGAGACACTAGGAACACAGAGACTGGGAGACATAGGGACACTGAAACA